ATCCTACTTCCGTAGTGATACTGCCTCGGAAACCCAAGGAGGGGTCGCTATGAGTCGGGGCCGACTCGACGGCACATAACAACAACAACAAAGCCTTCTACACCTGCCTACCTTAGGCAACAGCCTTAAAATAGAGCTGCCCACAGGAGAAGACCAGCCACCAAGCCCCGGCCCACCTAACTCAGGCCTCAGCCTTAATATAGAGCCACACCCAAGCGAAAAGCAGCCTCCAAGCCCTGGGTCTACCTTCCTCAGGCCCCAGGCTTAATATAGAGCCACACCCAAGTGAAAAGCAACCTCCAAGCCTCTGGCCCACTTACCTCAGTCCCCGGCCTTAATATAGAGCCACAATCAAGTGACACACACATCCTTCCAAGACTAGGGCAAAGCAAAATCTATAGTGGGTCAGTGAATGTTGTTGCTATATTCAAGCGTGTGTGGATAGGAGGAGAAGAACTTCAAGCATATGGTCATAAGCCAAGTTCATATAAGAATCTGAGCTGGGCTCACCTGCCGTTCTGTCCAGGTGGAAGAGCTCACACCATTTTGGGTCTTGGAGGTACTGCCAGCATGTCTCTTCTTTAGGTCACTCTACTCACCTACCTGGTGCCCAGGAGCTACCCCAGTCTCCCGTGCTCTCCTCTTGGGTACTCTTTCTGCTCTGTTCCTGGGTTTATGCCTTTCTTTCTTTTCCACTGTGCTCTCCTTTCTTAGATATGATTTCATTTGTTTAACCACGTTTCAGGTGGATTTTTGAGAAAAAAGGTTCCTGAGAAATAAATTTGTTGAGATCATGACTTTTGAATAATACAAACAAAAGTTAGAATCTTTCCTTCCTGTATGCCCTTGAATTGTTCTTCACACCTTTTCTGTGGAAAGTACACTTTCAGAGTACCATCTTCTCACATCATTTCTTTATTTATACACTCGTTTCCTGGATGGAAACTGTTGTGCTTAGCCTGGTCTCCAAGAACTCTGCAATTCAACTCCAGCTGCCATGTGCAGACTTAGCACAAGTTACTCCTCCAAATGAGCCTTTCTTCTGCCTTTCTGGTTTGCTTACTGGCCTGTGTTTTTCATCTTGCCTCCACATCTGTGTGTATGTTTCTTTCTTTATTTGTAAGTCTGTGCATTTGCTGCTTTATTTATTTGTAAGATTCCTTAGTCTCAGTTTCAGGTTTGTTTGTGAGACTGTGGGGAGATGTGGCATGTGGAACGATGAGAGGGTTTGCTTCCTGGGGTTCAAATTTTTTAAATTTAGGGTAATATTCCTGCCAAATCAAACACCAGTTTGCAGTCTTTTCTCATCCTTGCCCTCCCTCCAGTGTCTGCTCCATGCTCTCTGTCTCATGGCAATCCCTTCCTAGTGGTGCGTAATGAGCCAATCCTGCACCACCGTGAGGCAGAGACATAGCAAGACTTTCCAACTCTGATGCCTAGCAATGTATTACCTGTGCCTGTTGTTTTCTGGCTGAGTGTTTACTGTTCTATGTTATTAAAGAACATATTTCCAGTGAAAGATCTGGCCTCTGTGCTTAGCTGCATACTAAGGAACCCTGACCACCCAAGAGCTGACATGGGGCTTTGTGTAAGCAGGGCAACTGGTGTTCATATGCACTAGGATGCTTGCAAATGGCTTGGAGTTCACTACTTGTGCTGACTTGTTTTTTGGTCAGTTGAAAGTGATTAAAATTCCTTTATTATTATTATTATTTTTATTTTATTGTGATTTGGGTGAAGATTTACAGAGCAAATTCACTTTCCATACAGCAGTTCATATACACTTTGTCTCATGACACTGATCACAGTTTACCACAGTGCAACAGCTCCCCTCCCATCTCCTCCCCACAGTTACCTTAAAATTCCTTTATTTTTATAATAAAGTATAAATAAGGTATCAGATCTTATTTTTGACTACAGGTAAATTTTTTTTATTTTTTATTTTTTCCCAAAAAAGGAGCTCTGATGGTGTAGTGCCTGAGTTATTTGACGACTAACCAGAAGGTTGGTGGTTCAAACTCACCAGCCACTCTGTGGAAGGAATCTACCTCCGTAAAGTTTTCCACCTTGGAAACCAAAAGGGGGTCTCTCTGAGTCGGGCTTGACAGCACCTAACAACAACATACATTTTATTGAGTTTGTACAGATGTTGTCAGAAGATTACTTCTGAGGTTATGTGCTATGAATAGTTGCACAGCTCATGGTAGAGGAGGGGTGCTCGTACACAAAGGGAAGCTGCCTCTATGGCCTGCTCCCTGAGCAGGTTTTCTTCTTTGAAAAATGTTTTCGATTGTTTCATGTTTAAAACATTCAAGCCATTTTCTCTTATAAATTTAATGTATGTATTTTTTTTTAATTTATTGTGATTTGGGTGAAACTTTACAGAGCAAATTTATCTTCCATATAGCAGTTCACATATACTTTGTCTCATGACATTAACTGTAATCTCCCACAGTGCAACAGCTCTCCTCCCACTTCCTCCCCATCACCACCTCTTCCCTATGTCCTTCCCTCCCATGTACTCCTGCCCCCTGAGCTAATGCATGTATTTTTAAATAACATTTTATTTTCTTATGCATTTCTGCTCTATTGTTTCCTAAGGTGAGAATTAATATTCTTTATTTTATAGGGAAGAAGAGTCCCTAGTAGAACAGTTTGTGTTTGAAGCCTTGGTTGTCTATATGGAAAGTCTGGCCTTAGCACATACAGATGACAAATCCTTGGGTATGTTTTATCGGGGCTTCTGTTTTTGTCCTGGTGGTTCTGCTTGCCTTAGGAATCTCTAAAGATTTTACTGTTCAAGGCTTAAGTTAAGCTTCAGTGATTCTCTCATAAGGTGTCATTTTCTTCTTTTTTCTCATCTTTTATTTGGGGTGATACATGTGAAGAGCAAATATGACCCTCTAGCAGTTGTATGTGGTTTGTAAAAGATTATTCCATGATCTCTTTCTCAAGAGACACTCACCACAGAGCCTTGGTGACATTAAGGTTTGACCCTTGATGGCTGGAGACCCTGGCCAGGGCATGTACAATTTTATTTGAGCAGGAAGTACTCATAGAGCTTGCCCATTTAGGCTCTACATGTCACAGTCACAAGTTGGGGCAGGAGAGGGAAAAGGCAAGCTGCTTGTCTGCTTGTCCACATTTTGGTTTCTGCTTACATTTTAAAAGATGGGCTGGGATGTGTCATCAATTAGGTTCATGGTCTACTCTGAACAAAAGTGCTTAAAACTTGGTACTTGCCATCAAGTAGCTCAAAATTACTTTGGTTATGTTGGCATGCTACATTGGTGAATTTACTCCACAAGGGAGACTTCACTTTTTCTGAAATCACTGCCATAATTTACAAACACAGAAGAAATCCTTTATTTGGTGCTGGGGACAGAGTAAGTTGTGTTAGGCTTCTCCATTCCAAGAGCCCTTGGCTTCAGAAGACTATTTTATGATTCCCATTCTTTTTCCCCTCCTAAAGTGCCTATATGATTAAACTGTAGCTTAACCCATCTTAGAAGAAAGGGAGACCAAGGAGCTTACACTCTTCAGTCATAGCCTTAAATTGAGGTACACAGGCTCTAGCTGGGCACATGGGTTATGTAATACCTGAAAGACCTCTTCCATCTCAGATTCATGGTATACTGGCTGTATCTGGCCAGTAAAGGGTATAGGCAGTATAGATTGTGGTCAGGCATGGTATTACTGTGTGTGTTCACATGCACGTTTTGCTTTCCATCTTACTGTCCTGCAGTCTTGTTTTGTTGTGGTTGTTTCGTGCCGTCAAGTCGGACCTGACTTGTAGCGACTCCCCCTTGGGTTTCCCAGGCAGGATCGTTACAGAAGTAGATTGCCCCATCTTCCTTCTGAGGAGTGGCTGGTGGGAAGTCTTGTTAGGGATGGGTTTTGTTTTTGGATATGCAGTGTAAATCATTTATTTAAATTTTGTTTTGTGGAAGAAAAAAAATATTAAATCTTTAGTAAAATTACCATTTTATTGCAAAGTAGAACAATACTGATACTTAATTTTTAATACTAATTAGTGATCTATCTTTTTTCAAAATATATTTTACCCTTGAGAACAGGCACAATCCAACAGTGTTGTGATGCCGTTGATCACCTACGGCACATCATTGAGAAGAAGCATGTTTCTTTAAACAAGGCAAAAAGACGGCGTTTGCCACGGTAGGTGATATTATTTGTTTTTCTTTTTTTTTAGGAAAAGTTGATTTTTATTTATTGTTGTAAAAAGTATGTATGGTACAGTGTTTGCCAGTTCAGTGTTTTTTATGTGTACAATTTCATCATTCATATTGTGCAAGCATCACTGGCATCCTTTGCCAAATTCTTCATCACCATAAATAGATAATCAATGCTTTCTAAACAATGATTCTCTCTTTTCTCCTCCCTCTAGCCCCTGGTAACTCTTTTACATTTTACTTATTTATTTAAACATAGAATGAATTCCCAGCTAATAAAGGACAATTTGAGAGGATATGTGGCTAGATAAAGAATTAATTTCGTAAACAAGGAACGTGTGGAAGTATGAAGAGTCTGTTTTCCAAAGAAGCTAAAAAGCTTTATGTTTGAAATGCTTAGTTTAGGGTATAAATATGATGCTGGTAAGGATAGTAGATAAATTTGACAATAAGTTTTGTAACTGAGACATTTTATTTTACCTACACTGGTTGTGAATAAAGGAGCTCTGGTGGTGTAGTGTCAAGGCATTTGACTACTAAACAGAAGTCCGGTGGTTTAAACCCACCAGCCATTCCATGGAAGGAAGAGCAAGTCAATCTGCTTCTGTAAAGATTTACTTCTTTGGAAACCCAAAGAGGGTCGCTATGAGTTGGAATCAATTTGATTGCAGTGAAATTGATGTGGAATTACTTGACTAGAACATGTATAAACTGCTGTGCAATAAATTTTGCCAAATATGACCTAAAATGTCGAGGTGCAGATATGTCAGAATAGTAAGGGTTTGGCAGACATGGACTTTTAGAAGGACTTTCAGAAGCTGCTCTGAGTACAGTTCCTGGGTATTGAGCAGGGTTCTTGACCTCCCCCTCATCTCTACCCCACAGGTTCTTGTCATAGCAATGCTATGTGTCAACCTTGCTAGTCTTTGGAGGGGACTGGGTAATTCTGGTGTCTGTGTGGTAGGCTCTCCTGGGAGAAGCACTGTTTTATATATACTGAATTTGACATTTTCATGAGAAAAGTGTCTTTTATTTTAAAATTGATTCTATTATTAAGTTATGACATCTTTTTATATGCTTTGTTCTCAAATTTGAGTCTGCACCAGAGTCACCTGCATGTCTAGTTACAGCACAGATGCTGGGCCCACCCTTGATATCTCTGCTTCAGTAGGTCTGGGGTGTGTGTGTGTGTGTGTGTGTGTGTGTGTGTGAGATACGTGCTATGTGCCATCGAGTTGAACCCGACTCATAGCGCCCCCTCCTTGGGTTTCTGAGGCTGTGAGGCTGTATCAGTTCAGAAGTAGATTGCCCAATCTTCCTTCCGAGGAGTGGCTGGTGGGTTTGAACTGCCAGCCTTCTGGTTAGCAGTCAAGTGCCTTAGGCACTACACTACCAGAATTCCTAGGTCTGGGGTAGGGCCTGAAAACATGGATTTCTAACAAGCTTATGGGTGATACTAATGCAGCTGGTTCAGAGACCATACTTTGAGGACCACTGGTTTAGATCTTAAACCTCATTTTGTTTTTAGATACATTGTAAGGGAAACATGAAAACACTTAGTGATATTCTTTTAAGAAATACTTTTAAATATTTTGATGAGAAATGAAATAAAAAAATGAAGACAAGCAACATTTAAGACCTGTTTAAACTGTGACACTTTTATTGTATTCTAATGATACTATATTAAAAATAAATTGGATGACTTTTCATGAAATGTCTACACATAACCAGTTTGTTATTAAGTTTATGATTTCTAGATTTCTTTGGTAAGCTGAATGATTAATGTTGGGAGTGTATTAGTTACATTATATTATCTCTTCACAGAGGATTCCCTCCTGCATCTTCACTGTGCTTGCTAGATCTGGTCCGGTGGCTTTTAACCCACTGTGGAAGGCCCCAGATGGAGTGTCGGCACAAATCAATAGAGCTTTTTTATAAATTTGTTCCTTTATTACCAGGTATGGTGATTCTTGTGTCTATGAAATGATGGTTTTCAATTTTACCCGTACTGTAGAGATACCGACTTATTTAAAAGTTGGTTATTTCATTATATAAATGAATATAGTGAATAATTTGGTTTTAATAAATACAAAATATAACTATGTTTAGCAATAATTACTGATCATTTTTATGGCACATGATAAATTATGGCTGTACATTGCTCCAAAGATTTATGGAAGAAAAGAATAATACTATTTTGATGTCAGTCAAATACTACGAAGAAATAAATACAGAATTTCTAAGTACAGTTTTTTCTTTACCACCTTCTACATTTTTCCTTTTCTGACTCATTTAAAAGAAGGCAAGATGACTTGGGTGATCATTGCAATTTATACAGTACTTAACTAAGATTTAGAATATTAAATTAATGAAATGAATTAATGAAATATCAGTTATGCTATTTCAGCATGTACTTACTAAGAAATTGCTAGATTTTAAATCTGAGTCATCTGAGATCATTATGATATTAAAAGAAACCTGTTCAATAAATATTGCTCTAAACCTTTAAACTGTACTTATTGGCTGAAATAATTACTAGTTTTCTCAGGAATTACTGCATTGCTCTATTTTCTCCATTAAACTCAAATCCAAATATCATTTCTTAGACACGAGTACATTCTGCTCGCGGACTGAAGTGGCTTCTGCTGCCCCTTGGTGCTCCATAGGTGCCACCCTTAGATGTGATATATGATATTCCAGATGGTCTAAATGAGCAGGGTTATAAGGTCTTTAGCATCAGTGCCTTAAAAAAAAAAACATGATAATGGGCCATTTCTCTTTAGAGAATGAGATAGAACCCTACCTTTTAGAACAAGAGGAAAAAAATTACTTCACTAATCCTTCTAAGGGAGCTCTGGTGGTGTAGTGCCTAAGGCATCTGACTGCTCACCAGGAGGCTGGCAGTTCAAACCTATCAGCCACTCCTTGGAAGGAAGATTGGGCAATCTACTTCCATAGTGATACTGCTTCAGAAACCCAAGGAGGGGTGGCTATGAGTCGAAATCGACTCAGTGGCAGTGAGTTTGGTTCTTATCATTCTAAAACTTTGAAGGATTCCAGATTTTGTTATATTATAGAATACACGGTGGAAAGAAGGTTGGGCAATCTATTTACTTAGTGATACTGCCTTAGAAACAAAAGGAGGGGTCGCTATGAGTTGAGTCAACTAGACGGCACATAACAACAACAATAATATTAGTAGTATACTATGGTGGCATGGGAGGTAAGGCATTTGCCTACTAATCAGGTTGGTGGCTCAGACCCACCAGCTGCTCTGCAGTAGGAAGATGAGGTAATCAGAGTCTTGGAAACCCAGTGGGGTTGCTGTGAGTTGGAATTGACTCAATGGCAGTGGGTATGTATATACTAATACATGCTATGTGTTATATATACCATACAAGTGTAAGAGTCTCTTGGTGGCACAAATGATTAATTGTTTGACTACGGGCCATAAAGTTGACACTTTGAAACCACCCATAGGTGCCTTGGAAGACAGAACTGATAATCTACTCATAAAGATTTGTTTTGTCAATTGCTGTTAATTCAGTTCTAATTCATGGTGACTCCATATGTGCAGAGTAGAACTGTGTTCAATAGGGTTTTCAATGCTGTGACCTTTCAAAAGAAGATCATCAGGCCTGTCTTGTGAGACACTTGTGATAGTTGGACCTCTGTGTCAACTTGGCTGGACCACAATTCTGTGTGGTTTAAGCAGTTGTGATGTGGGTTATTCACATGATGGGATCAAATGTATATGTTTTGAGCAGCTAATCCGTTGAAAGGGAGTTTCCCTAGGGGTGTGGCCTCCTTCTAATGTATGTATGGACGTCCTGGGAAAAGAGACACTTTTCTGTGGTTTGGGATCCTATTGTGCTGTCTACAACTGTCCGTGAGCAAACAATCCACCATTTGGCCTGGAGGTCTTGGATTCATAATTAATTGGAGTCAACAGTGAGTATACTACCGGCGAACTCTCAGCTCATTGGTCCTTGCAGCTTCTTGAGTCGGGAAAAGCTTCCAGTTTGATGTTTGATCCAAGAACTTGGGACTTGCCAGCTTCTATAAGTATGTGAGACATTTTCCTAAGATAAATTTCCCTCTCTCTATATATAAAGAAGTTTTACTGTTTTTGTTTCTCTAGAGAACCCAGCCTTACACATTTGGTACTGAGAGTGGTTCTAGACAGAGAAAATCATAAGGATGGGCTTCCTAAACTGGTTCTCATCGATTCTGTTTTGATTCTCCAATTTCATTAATCATAAAAGTACTGGTGACTCTGCCTCCATTATTAAAGAGGGCCCTGTTAATCTGTGGTTTGAGGTGGCAACATTAATATGCAAAATAGTATTGCTTATAGATCAGGTATTTTCGAGAAGTGAAGTTCTGGGTGATTGCGTATTGATACTTCTCTGCAGTTTTGTCAGCATGAGAGGTATAAGGTAGTTGGTTGGTCCTCCTTACACTAAACAAAGTGGTGAAAGAGCGAGATTAGTTCATGGGCCACATGAAAAACCTCAGTGTTTCCAGTTGTGCTCTGAAAGAAAGCCTTGTTTCTTCTAGTAACAGAGCTGACACTGCCAAAAACCAAACCAAAGTCTTATTGTAGGGTGGCTGAATTACAACACCAGTTGAATTGCCAACCCAGAATGATTTCTGAAGTTAAAGTGAGGGCATTGATTGGGAAAAAAAATGGGATGCTAAAACCTGGAATGCGGACATATGGGCAGGCATTCAGGAAGATGAGGATATGGATCCTGTACATTCTGCTGAATCCCTCCCACCTGAAGGGATTACTGTAAGACCATCATCCTTCCCATCTCAGTTTGATGGGATTAACCTAGTTGTTCCTGCTGGGTCATTGACTGAGGTAGATGCCATGGAAGACATTGTAGAATGTTCTCAGGAACTTCTTCAACCACCTGTTGTTGCTGCTACACCTATAACAATTAAAACAAGTCCATGAGAGCCAAAATATGATCTTGAATATATCCCTCCTGAATTTAGAGACCATCTAAAGAATAGATTTGATGCATTGAATACCAATGACTGGAAACCAGAAGAATTGTGGGATGACATCAAGAGCATCATCCATGAAGAAAGCAAGAGGTCACTAAAAAGACAACAAAAGAAGAGAAGACCAAAACGGATGACAGAAGACACTCTGAAACTTGCCTTTGAGCGGAGAGTAGCTAAAGCAAATGGAAGAGATGACAGCATAAAAGAATTGAACCGAAGATTTCAAAGAGCAGCTCGAGAAGACAAAGCCAATTACTATAATGAAATGTTCAAAGCCCTGGAGTTAGAAAACCAAAAGGGAAGAACATGCTTGGCATTTCTCAAGCTGAAAGGATTAAGGAAAAAATTTAACCCTCGAGTTGCAATATTGAAAGATTCTAAGGGCAAAATATTGAATGATGCAGGGAATATCAAAAGAAGATGGAAAAAATACAGAGTCACTGTAGCAAAAAGAACTGGTTGATCTTTATCCATTTCAGGATGTGGCACATGATCTAAAACCAATGGTATTGCAGGAGGAAGTCGAAGCTGCAATGAAGGAATTGGCGAAGAACAAGCCTCTGAGAATTGACGGAATACCCATTGAGATATTTCAACAAACAAATGTCACACTGGATGCACTCCCTCAGTTATGCCAAGAGATTTGGAAGACAGCTACCTGGCCAGCTGCCTGGAAGAGATCCATATTTGTGCCCATTCCTAAGAAAGGTGACCCCACAGAATGTGAAAATTATCGAACAGTATCATTAATATCGCACACAAGGAAGATCTTACTGAAAATAATTCAAAAACTTGCAGCAGTATATTGATAGAGAATTTTCAGAGGTGTAAGCTGGATTCAGAAGAGGATGTAGAACAAGGGATATCATAGCTGCTGTCAGATGGATCTTGGCTCAAGGCAAAGAATATCAGAAATATGTTTACTTGTGCTTTATTGACTATGCAAAGGCATTTGATTATGAGGATCATGACAAATTATGGATAACATTGAGAAGAATGGGAATTCCTGAACACTTGATTGTATTCATGAGGAACTGTACCTTGACCAGGAGGCTGTCGTTCAAATGGGGACACTGCATGGTTTAAAATCAGGAAGAGATTGTGTCAGGGTTATATCTTTTACCCATACTTACTCAATCTATATGCTGAGCAAATAATCTGAGAAGCTGGACTATATGAAGAAAAATGTGGTGTCAGGATTGGAGGAAGAATCATTAACAATCTGAGATACGCGGATGATACAAGTTTACTTGCTGAAAGTGAGGATGACTTGAGACACTTACTGATGAAGATTGAGGTACACAGTCTGCAGTGTGGATTACATCTCAGTATAAAGAAGACAAAAATCCTCACAACTGGACCAATAAGCAGCATCATGATAAACGGAGAAAAGGTTGAGGTTGTCAAAGAATTTACATTGCTTGGTTCTACAATTGATGCCATTGGAAACAGCAGTCACGACATTAGATGATGTGTAGCACTGGGCAGGTCAGATGCAAAGGAACTCTTTCAAGTGCTGAGGAACAAGGATGTCTCCTTGAGGCCTAAGTTGCACCTGACACAGGCCATGATATTTACAATATACTTGTGTGCATGTGAGAGCTGGACAATGAATAAGGAAGACTGAAGAAGAGAAAGCTTTTGAGTTGTGGTGCTGCCGAAGAATTCGGAAGGTATCATGGACTGCCAAGAGAACTAACAGATCGGTCCTGGAGGAAGTGCGGCCGAGATGCTCCTTGGAAGCGAGGATAGCCAGACTTTGTCTCACTTACTTCAGTCATGTTGTCAGAGGGGACCATTCCCTAGAGAAGGATGTCATGCTTGGTAAGGTGGAGGGTCGACGAAAAAGGGGAAGGCCTTCGATGAGTTGGATTGACATGGTGGCTGCGACAACAGGCTCAAGTATAGCAAGGATCATGGAGCTGGCGTGGGATCAGGCGGT